TGTTTCTTTCTCTCTGTCAGCAGCTGTTCTATTTACTGTTTTAACCATTAAAAACCATCTAATTATTAAAATACTGTTTCCATGTGTCCGTTTATTGTGTAGAACTGGACAATAACAACAGGAAGTGAGGAAACGCTGTCGTGAATCTTTAGATTTGCTCTGAGGAAACACAGAAGACTGGAAACCAAAGATGAGGATAAAGTGACAAATATAAATATTAGATAAAATTAGATAAATACATAAATATTTTTGTTGATTTCCTGTTTTATTTTGAAGTTGCTTTCCTTGTGTGTCCACTGTTGTTTTACTTCCTCTTTGTCCTGTTTTCCCGCCACAGTGATGGTTCATTTTTGTTTTTGTCGCCACTTATTCCCAACACCTTCTTAACTGTGCGTTCCACACGACCTCTGACCCTCCGGGAGCAGGTTACAGCATTTTGTCAAGGAGGCGGGAGAACCAGAAAGACAGTAGCGTCACTATCGGAAGGTTGCTTCCCTCCGCCAACCAGCCAAGTTGCAGGAAATGTATGAATTTGTAAGTTATGGCCAAGTGGTCAGTTATGGTGTTTTGTGAGGTCACAGCCGGACGGATGTGGTGAAACTCTTTGTGGGCGTTCCTGATAAATCGCATTCACAAGAACTTGAGGTCACCATGACCTTGAACTTTGACTTGAACTTCTGAAAGTTAAACCCCTGACCCTCAGACATGAAGGATGAAAAGTGACACGAGTAAAAAATAAATAAATAAATAAATAAATGAAGAATCAATACATAAATAAATGCAAAATAAAGACATTTTGGAAAAATGCTATTTCTGTATTTTAATATTTTTTATTTCTGTATTTCTGCATTTATTTACTTCATGTTTATTCATATGTCCGTATGTAAATGAGGTAGGCGGTCCTTCCTGAGTCTAAAGCCGGATTGGTTGTTGACTACTCCTGCCTTCACTGATCCACAGGAGCTTTGTCTTTCCAGTGTAGCGACTCTGACGCCTGATTTAGTGACTTTTCAGACTCGAGACGTGTTTTTCATAAAGAACCAAAAAACAAATCTTTTGACTTTTTGAAATATAGAAGGAAAAAATGCAAAAATACAGAAATATCATTTTTTTTATGAATGTTTTTATTTATCTGTTCTTTCATTCTTCGTCTGTATGAAGCAGAATTCAGACTCAAACTAAAACTAAAATAAAGGAAACCTGATGGACCCAGTCTTCAGAGAGTCTCCACACGATGTCGACACGCCCGTTAAAATCCACGTGTTCCTGTGAAAACGCCACTGGCCTGTTTTTACGACCGTCGCTCCTCTGTCCAACCAGCTGCTCCACATCTGGTGAAATGAAGCAGGAAGGCATGACGTCATTAACCAACCCTCATCAGAGCTGACAGCGCTAACACCGCCACAGTCGCTGGGCTCCAGACTCTGGGAGCTCTGGTATCGAGTGTCCTCCCACAGTATGAAGCTGTCGGCTGCAGAGAGATGATAACTTATTCATTTTAACTTACTGTGACGATTGTGTTGATGAAACGTGTATTTTTACAATGACTAAACAAACTCAACTCGTTTATGTTGGATTATGACGGTGTGACCGAGTGGCTGTAAAACAGGTAAAATAAAAACCAAAACAAAAGGCAAAGGACCAGAGAATATTTAGTTTTATTTTGTTGAATTGCAGGTAAGTGAGAGTCTGCGAACAACAGCAAACATCTATGAGGGGTTACCATAACAACACACCTGCCTGGAAACTAATCAACAATGTGCAGCTTCTAAATACTGACAGGTACTTGAGCTGTCACCCATTTTAAAGTCTGAATACTTTGAATGGTAAGAACCACTTGCCCTTCAGTAACCCCTGCACTCACATCACAGAACATAATGTAAGTATAGATACGGTCTGTGGGTGTAAATGTGGGAACATGCTGACAGCAGCTGGAGCTTTATTTTGAACTTTATTCAATAAAGATTAATTGATGTGCGGGAATGCTAAATGCTCGTTAGCTCATTAGCTTAGCTTGGTCGCTATAAGGGACATACGTTTACAATTTATTCAAAAGGCGTTTGCTGCTAGAGCCACTAGACTCTGCAGCTCAGGCTGTGACTCATTCACTCCCTTTAAATCTCTTCTTAAAATGTTTTATTTCTACTGTTTTATCTCTATTCTTGTATTTACATATTTCATTATGTCTCCTCACGTACTGTCAGATGTTAATGTTGATATATGATATGTTTTTTATTTATGCTACTCTACTCTTTTCATTATGCTCAGGCTCTTTCATCTGGATTTATCTTTCTGTGAAGCACTTATTAATAAATAACTCCATAAATAAAGTTATTATTATGACTGTTATTGGTATTCAGAGTGCTGGTTGGTTTCTGAGGTTCGAGACAAATTAACCCTGAAACTGCCATGAGGGTCCTCCACCCACAGCCCAGGTTCACAGGACCATGTTTCTGAAGCGTTAAACTGGATTCACAAACAATAAATGACGTTTATTGATAAAGATTATAATCTTATATTTAATTTAGAGGCAAACTTGACTTCCACTGTGTCGTTCTCTGCCTCTCTGTGTTTATGATGCTTTTTACTCTAAAACCAAAGAAAACCGATAAAAACAAAACAAACAAACCCAATAATAATACTGTTGCTATAGCGTCAGATAGATGTCGAAAATGTTAAAGAGCTAAATTACAGACTGTTTGTAACGACTGATCCCAGCGGACTGGTGACACGGAGGAAAACGCACCGTTTTTTAAAGGGAGTCTTGTGAAGTCACATGATACAAATATAACTGGAAGGCGTCTCCTCACATTCCCCAGGAGGCCGAGGGATAAAGTTAGCTGCCGAGGAAACTCTAGAGGCCCCGGAGCCTCGGGGGCCCCGGCAGCCTGGAGGCAGAGCTCACAGCACCATACAAGGAGTGTGAGGGCATCTGCGTGTGTGTGTGTGTGTGTGTGTGTGTGTGTGTGTGTGTGTGTGTGTGTGAGGAGGGCGAGGCGCATGTGAAACCAGCAGTGAGTTAAATCATTAAAGACCAACAGGATCTTAATGGCTCATTAATCATCTTCCGTCGCTGAGTGGCTCTAAAGACCGGACTCTCCTGAACACACCTTGTTAATTCAGTTTCACCTCTGACCTCTGACCTTTACTTTAACACTAACATCTAATCATCTAATTATACACAGGAAATATAAAAGTCTAAGGTCAGAAACTGTGACGGTCACATGACTGGACACCTGCAGGACGACAGACGTGAGGAGGAACCGGACGATGTGTTAAATATAAAAGATATAAAAGAATAGAACGTGAAGTATTTCTGGATTTCTGGATTCAGGAGGTTCATGATTGATTGATTGATTGATTTCTCACCTGAAGACATAATGTGTCTTAATCTGTCTCCAGGTGGTTCAACGGGACGTGGGCCTGTCAGTTTATCAGGCACACGTAGCTAAAGCTAATCCAACAGTCCGGCAGTAAATCCTCCGTCATGAAGGTTGTAATGTTCAGCGTTTGTAGAAACGGTTTCAGAGAGGAGATATTTCCCTGCTGTGCAGGAGTGCTTCGGTTTCACTAACGAGCGTCTATCAGCTGATTATCAACAGGTGTGCCGAGTGTCTACCTGGAATCAGAGTCGTCCCAACATGAAATCCCATAATAACTGAAACCAGAACCGTACTGTACCTCCACAATGCTGTGTACAGATTATACAAGCAAGCTGTTATTTATGAGTCACATGGGCGTTTCCAAAAAAAGAAGGATTTCCAATCATGACAATTATTTTAGAAACAAGATTTTAAACCTTCCTAGACAGAGTGCGGTTGTTTTAACTGGAGACTGTCGCCTGTGTTTTATCTGTTTTATTGTTTATTATTGAAATTGAATTGTAAATTGTTTCTGGACTGTCTGTTCATTGTTTTTATTGTTTTTCATGTCTCTTGAAAATGAGATTTCTATCTCAGTGGGATTCGCCTGAATAAATAAAAGTTAAATAAATGATGAAATAAATGATGTCATCATGAAGAAACATCTGCGTCAAAAAAAAGTCATAATGTACATTTATTTAAACTTTATAAATCAAATTACTTAACAAATTATTATGAAATATTATTTCACCATTTGCTTCCATAGTAACAATTTTATTGATATTATTTTATTATTTATTTATTTTTAATTATAAACATGTTTATTTCAAAATGCTCCGTCAGTTTTTAATCCATTACATCATTTTCATGACATGCGACTGTCCTCTCACCTTTCAGCCAATCACACGTCCCCTGCCTCTCGAGCTAGGAAGTTCAATGACTGCTACCAGATTTAGCCAGCTAGCACCTGTTAGCTAGAGCTACAACTATGTCAAAGTTATTCTGAATCAGCTGCCGTTTATAAACACAGTCTACAGAAGAGAAAAGGGTTCAAGTAAAATCCTGTAAAGGTTTGGATGGTGGGTCCAGGTGGGCGGGGCTTGGTGACTGCTTTGTTGTGACATCACAAAGTTCCAGAAGTCCTGACGGCTGGTTTTAAGGCTCAGTTTCTGAATACAGGCTGTGTGCATTTCTCTGTGGACTGAGGCTTTGATACTTTCACAGTATTAATATAGAAGCTAGACCTGACAAAAATCCAAAAGACAAAAATCCAGACATTTTCTTCCACATTTGACTTTATTGTTTTTGTTCGACATGGTTCAGTTTGTGTGAATGTGTGGAGATTAAGACTTGGTGTTGTGTTGTTGATGCGTGAACCTGCAGAAACAATCGGCACTCCTCCACCTCCTCCTCCTCCTCCTCCTCTTCCCTCCAGACAAAACAAAGTGCAAAAGAAAGAAGGAGAAAAACTCCTCAAACTCCTCCCTTGACTCTCCTGCAGCGCGACTCCTCTCAGACTTTTCTAACCTGCTGTCCAAACCTGCCGTGTGATTTAAACCGAAACACAACACAACCGCCTGGTTCAACCAACATATATAAGACACGTGGAGTTCATAGAAACAGAAAGACAAACAGCAGCGATAACGTTTAGGAGGTCTCGAACATCTTCTTCCTGTCGGCCTTGTCCTCAATGTTCTTACGCCAGTCGCCCACTGCTTCTGTAGGCTGCGGAGGAGACGAGGCAAATCAGTCAAAAGGAGACGCACATGTGACAGGAGATCCTCACCAGTCGTTAAAGCTTCAGATTAGGTTTTATTTTCAGTAGCAGACGAAACTACACTTTTCATTCCACACGGACGACGTGTTCACATAAGTTTTTCTAATTTGTAACAAGGTAAAAAATAAAAAAAACAAATATTTAATGAGCTGATTCCAGCATTTTGGATTCAAACCGACCAACAGAATAAATACACAGATAAAAGATTCATAATTAAACTCCTGGTATTGTGGAAACAGCATTTAAACCTCTGTATATATCTACATACATTACATCATCATCAGGGTCTCCCTCAGTGGGCGGAGTTTGCTCGGTTGTCGAGAGATATTCGTGATTTTGGACCTTATTTATATTATTTTATCATCTTCTGAGGAAAACCATGAGATTCGGTTGAAAGCTATGAAGTGGACCTTGAGGTTATGATAATGGTAAAAGTTATGTAACACCAAAAAACTACAATTATACAGATTTAACTATCAGTATACTGAATAACATATAAATGTATTTTCCTCCTGATTTAAATACTTTAATAACAAACAGTCTGATGCTTTGTAAACATTACATTTACAGTAAACCTACAGTAAGTCTAGTAAAAATATTTTTCCCACTATTTACTCTCTACCCATATTAATAATGAAATAATAATGAAAGGTGCCTATAAATAAAATGTATTATTATTATTGATATTGAACTGACTTTCTTTCTTTCTGACTTTAGTCAAACAGTTTTGAAGGAAATCGATTGCTGTTGGTTCTGTTGTCTTAATGCTATGATTTGAATATATAAGTGCTTTTATTACAGTAAATGTTGAAACCGTGTCCAAAATATTCAACATTCTGTCATTGTGTTACTTATAGATTTAATTATATACTTTTTGCTGGGGACCTGCAGGAACCCCCTCAAGGACCCCTGGGGGTCACCGGACCCCACTTTGACAACCACAGCTAAATTGGAACTACTATTGAAAGACCTCGGTGGACGACATTAAACAACATCGACAGTATTTGCAGATGCAAAATGTAAAATCTATAAAAACACAGAGATCATGACCTGTGTCTGTGTTTACAAAGAAAAGCACAGGGACAGAATTCGACCCCGACATCTCTCGTCTTATAAGGACACAACCAGAAGCTACAAGCTAAAAATATGTAGGTAAAAAAAGCGGGACACCCACCTCCTCCTTGACCTCCTTCTTCACCTGCTTCAGGTTGGACCTCAGGTCCATGGTCACCTTGTGTTTGGAGCCCAGCAGAGCCTGCAGCATGGAGTCGGCAGACATACGGACCTTCTTCAGGGCGGGTTTCTTCACGCCGATCAGGTCCACCACTTTGATCTTCAGGTCCTCGATCTGTGACAGGGAGAGGGTTTTAGTTTTGGTCCGCTGTCCCTCAGAAAGCTGCCGGTGTTGTGATGACATCAGAGGACAGTTACCTCTTTGTCGGCCTTCTGCACTTTGGACTCGGCGTCGTACCTCTCCTCATCGATCTTGTCGATGGCGGCTTGGAGCTTCTTGCAGAATTCCTGTCGACACAAACACAAATGCAGCTCTCATGTTACATAACCAGTACGTACCTCCAATAACCTCCAACTGAAATATGAAGAACTATGTTTATAACATTAATTTTGCCCCTATCGCCAAACCTATGTGGCTTCATACACAGGGCAAATTACAACAATGCTAACAATGCTAATCTTGGCAGGTAAATGCTACTTCAGTGCTCCAGACAACCTCTGTCTGTGGTTAGCTAAGATACCAGTCGAACGTTCAGGTTAACTTGTTAGCTAACTAGTTTCCTTTATCCAAAAGGCTAATTCTTCATATACGGTTTCTTACATTAGCATTTAGTGAATGTGGTAGGTACAGTTAGCATAAGGGTTTTATAAGGTAGTCGTAGTTAAATGCTAACAAAAACAACACTGCTATGTCACCTTTGTCAACTTTATCTACACAAAAATACATCACAAAATGTAAGCTAGCCAACCGCAAGCTAGCCAAAAATGTGGCGGGAGCTTTGCAAAATGGCCGCCATTTAACTGCCTCTGAAAATAGTTTCTAGTTACTATATTCTTATTTTCTTCACACTCTTAAACATAACACTGCTCTAGACTCTGGATGGAGCTAGGCTAGCAGTTTCCACCTGCTTCTAGTTTTTGCGCTAAGCTAGGCTAAACACACGTTGGACCTACTCCTGTACTGAGTCTAGCTGATTCTGGGAAAACTAAATGTTTAACTATCCATTTACATTCTTTATTATTTAGTGTTGACGTGATAAAATAAGTAATAAAAAAACTTACTAACTAAATAAAAAAACTTTTACAGACTCAGAGGATTTTTCTGAACCAATAACAGAGACTGATGCTCCTCTCACCATGAGGGCGGCCTGGTCTCCGCTCAGCTCTGGGGGGGGACAGCGCTCGGCCATGTAGGCCTCCTTTGCCACAATATTATCCTTCTTCTCCTGCTCCAGCCAGCTCAGAGCGATCTGGAGGATCACACTCTGCAGGACGAAGAAACAAACAAACAAACAAACAAACAAACAGACAAACAAACAGATGAGTGTCCACTCACAACACTGGGATGTTGTTGTTACTTTACAGAAGACAGGGTGTGATTTAAGATGCAGCCTTTTACATGTAAACAAAATCTAAAACCCTGATTTAAATTTAAACTATTCAACATTTTTCTTACTTTCACGTGTTTTTGCTCTTTTCATGGGATTTAATGACAGTAATGAAAATACAGAATCATACAGACATTTTTACGTGGCTGGTTTTACCTTGAGGTGATGCCTGCGGCTGGAAGTCATCTTTTTCCTGTTTGGGAGGAAGTTGTTTCACAAATCTCAATATCCGTCTCCAAGGAGAAGATTTAACATGTTTTCGAAGCAGTTTTGCTTATTTAAGGAAGAATTGTGAATTATGAGTGTGTGTGTTGGAGTAAGGAAGATTTCTGTCTTAACTTCAGGATAATATTGTTTATTATTTGAAAAAAAATGTAAAAATATATTTGGAAAATGAGATTATGTGTTTGTAAAGAAGGGTGCAGTGTAAACCTGACGGATGTGATCATGTGATGATGCTGCTCAGACTTACTCAGACATCCTTGCGGTTTGTGCGGTTCACAACCTGCATGAAGAAACACACAAGAACACACACTGAGTCTATTTTGACCTCTCCTGAATGCCGTAGTCGCTCAGTATCGGGGTTCTCTGAGATCAGCATGTTCTGTCGCTCTGATGGAGACGGATGGACGAGAATTATTTGTGCCGTAACGTGATCTGAGGCCACAGCTGAAGAGCAGCGACGTCGACTGAACTAAACTGGGAAGCTCGGGATCGAGTGTCGCGCCTCCAAAAGTTTACGGCCGGATCGAATGAAGGGTTAATTTGAAAAATTCCACAGTGAAATATCATCAACTGAAGTTCGACCTGGATCTCTTTTAATTAATTTAAATGGCAAAATATCAAGGTCCAAGTCTGGGGAGATGATTTCACTTTGATCTTCTTATCTACTCTTTAAAGAAAAACAAATGAAACTGTTCAACTTTAATTTTGTCAAGTTATTTTCAATTTTACATTGATTTGACTTAAATTTACCACCTTTAAAGTGTAAAATGAACAAATTTACAACCTGTGACTCTTAATTTAAACGAATAACAGCAAAGAAAATACTTCAAACAGGTGGAAGTGAAATTTCCTGATCCTGTAAACGCAGCCAATTAAACTTATAGACTCATTAATCCATGAATAATACCAACAACCTAATATTCATATTAATTAAAAGCTTAATTAAGCATTCAAGTGTCATTAAGTTTGTCCATTATGTCACAGAAACAGTCAAAAAGCTTCAAACATGAACTTTTTCAACTTCTCTGAAACAAAAAGTTGCACAAATTTTAAAAGACTTCTGTGATTCAAACATATAAAAAAAGATATTTTGTCAAACTGTTAATCAAAAGCAGAATCAGACATTTTAACAGCTGTTCAGATATCACGATGACAGTGACAGTTTTAAGACTTTCCCTCCACTTGCCAGGTTCACAATCAGCCTCTAACTCCGAGCTGCAAACATCTCCAGGACCATAAAACACAACAGAGCCGAGCTGAACGGGGATCGTAAATTCAGGGTCTGTCGCGGGTAAAAAGGTCAAATGTGGCCGACGAACATGTACAAAGTGAGTTCAGGATGTCACCACGGGTCAAATGCGCAGGAGCCCAAACGGCCCGGATCCTGTTTTCTACATGATGTGTGAAATAAAAGATGCTGCTCTCAGAGAGATAAAAAAAAACACAGAGAGAGAGAATAAAGAAAATTTCTCACCTATTAGAGAAGAGGAAGAAGAAGAGGACACACTGGGTGGAAGAAAAGGAGACACTGCCAAAGCCACAGACAGTGAAAAATGAAATAGGGTATATATGGTGGGTTGCGATGCCTCAGCAAAATGCCCAGATCCTCTTTATGGAAATGGATTCCTGGGCAGACCAATGGGCCGGCGAGCTCCTGAAATACACCCGGCCCAGCCCCGCTCTGCAACCGCCCTCCCTGAGAGAAGACCCCCAGCTGATCTGGAGCCTTAAAAAATGCAGATTCACTGTATATGGGGGGGGTTTTACTGGATATGAAGGAACCCAGGCCGAGGCTGATCTCAGACCAGCAGGGTTCTCTGAGGTAGAACCGCAAGTCCTGACACGTCTTTGAAATGGGCTTTTCTGTCTGATTTCCCCTTTAAAGCAGCTTTTATTCAGGTTTATTAAAGAAATATCCTCAATTTAAGGTTTTTATCCACTGCATCGTCTCATTAAAGAGAAATATTCAGTTGTTTTGTGCTTAATTTTATTCATTTTTATACGTTTGAAGACAAAAATAAAGCTCTGTGTTCTTAGTGTGAGTGCGACCCACATGTGGTTTCAGTTGCAGATTCACACGAGCTTCTTTTTATCACGTCGTTAGAGATTCAAACACAAATCAGCTGTTTCAAGAATAGCAACATGTTTAGGCTAGTAGTTTCCCTCTGCTTCTAGTCTTTATGCTAAGCTAAGCTAACCACTGTCATCCCTCCCTCAGAAAGAAAGTAAATAAACATATTTTTTGCTATTTTTGTTATATCTAAGTATCTAATTGTAAAAATTATATTATTATTGAATATTTATCTTCTTTTTTTTAAAGTATTTTATATCGACATTTTGCAGGTTTTCTTTTATCTTTTCTTATTTTCCAAAATGTTGAACTTTTCCTTTCGGATGTTTTCACTAGTTTATAGTAAAAATTGTAAAGTGATATATAAATATATATATATATACATATATACGTGTATATATATGTATATACATATATATATGTGATATATTGTTTAAGTGTCAGTTTGATGTCGTGTGATTTGTGAAAAACAAAATGAAGAATGATTAAAACACGGATAAAAGTATCAAACAAATGAATCCTTATTTGAAAACGTTTATTTCTAATGACTCATGAGAACCGGAACATGTTGCTCTAATGTTTCTGTGTCAGATGTTTTAACTGTTTGTTTCAGTTCAGTCTCTCGGGGCGACGGTATCACAAAAACAACCAAAAACAAAAAGACAAAAAAACAACAAAAAAAGTGTCTAAACTCTCGTCCCTGTGTCCCTCTGGGACTCAGAGACACATTCAGTCACTCAGACCTCGGACGGAGACGTCTCCCCTGCCGTCGTCCTCGCCGCTGCAGGAGGGATTTAGGAAGTCTCGAACATCTTCTTCCTGTCGGCTTTATCCTCGATGTTCTTACGCCAGTCGCCGACGGCCTCTGTGGGCTGGAGACACAACGACGCAGAGACTCATTAACACAAAGAGACTAAACATTAACGTAACCAGCGATACAAACATGTATCTTTGTATCTTTGTATCTTTGACCCATTTCTATCATTTACAGCAGTAAAGTCGTTGTTAATCTCATGATAATATTACAGGTTATTGTTTTTGCTCTGTTGTTGTTTTTCTTCACATTCACAGTTTGTTCTTTTGTTCTGGAGACAAATAAAGTTTTCAATTTAACTTCCTCAGTTCTTTCATCCTGTGATTTTTCCTTAAAGTCGTATTTTCTTAAGACGAGTTTGAAAAACTACCAGCTTCGTTTTTCCTGATTCTGCTGCAGCAACATGATTTATTCTTTATTATTTCAAGATACAATGAAGATGGTTTCTATTCTGAACAGGTTGAAGTATTAAGAGTTTAGAAAACAAGGCTTTTAGGACTTTCAGTCTGCTCTTCCAGCTGCAGCACACGAGTGTGGTGAAAATCACTGGTTTCCTGGACAGTTACAAAGACGTTCCAGCTGTGGACAACAGCTGGCAGTGTCGGGAAGTTTAAAGGATTTACTGTAAATGGGCAAAAACACTGTTGTGGTCCTTTAGGATTTACAGAGTCGTTTGTTCTGCAGGAAGAAACAGAAGAAACGTACGGAAGCTGAATTCTGCACAAAATAAAATGTATATCTGCTTATTATCTTGCAGCCATGACAGTCACGGCCCTGACGCTTCAACCTCTTCTGAAACATCATTTAGTAGAAATTTTCAGAATAATTTCTTTATTTCTTCTTTAATCTCAGTTTTACTTGTTTTAAATATTTTATTCTGCTTCAGTTAATGACGTTTTTAACTTGATTACAGTTTATATTTGATTTCATACTTTGCTCCCTTGTGTGAAGCACTTTGGGTTTTGATGGTGATTATTATTATAAAATATTAATGAACCATCTCAGTATTTTTATTTTTATCATTCCTCATATTTGATCTATATTTTTCTCTTTTTCTCACAGAATTGATCCTTAGATTTGAAAACAAAGTGCAACACACAGACAGCACAGTGTGATGTCATATTGATCCCTGTGGCAGCACAGAACATCTGCTGTTGACTACAACTGACACTTTACAGATGTTTCTGTTTGATCACCAACAGCATGAAAGTGTCATCAGCTCTGAGGAACATGATTTCTGTTGGATGGAAATATTAAACTGTAAGTAAAGTTCTAACGAGTGGACGCAGAACAGAAACCTGGAGCCGTTAACGCTTCCCGCCTCTAAATGTTTTTATCAGCTGATGTTTGGGGTTTCCTCACCTCCTCCTTGACCTCCTTCTTGACCTGCTTCAGGTTGGCCCTCAGGTCCATGGTCACCTTGTGTTTGCCGCCCAGCAGAGCCTGCAGCATGGCGTCAGCGGACATACGGACCTTCTTCAGGGCGGGTTTCTTCACTCCGGCCAGCTCCACCACCTTCAGCTTCAGGTCCTCGATCTGGAGGCAGAGAAACGCCACGACCCGTTAACGAAACCGCCGAGTCCGCGGCTCGTCTTACGACCAGCTGAAACCCGATCAGCTGATCGAACGATGTTCTTGATTTAAAGGGAGTAAAACGGATCGATCCTCGTGTGTCTCACCTCTTTGTTGGCCTTCTGCACTTTGGACTCGGCGTCGTACCTCGCCTCATCGATCTTGTCGATGGCCTGGTGGAGCTTCTTGCAAAATTCCTGTTGACAAACAAACAAACAAACAAACAAACAAACAAACAACATGTGATAACGTGTTAAACACCTTAGGCTGTTACGTCATGTGACTTTATCTTCAACTCCACTACGTCAGAGGTGAAGATTGTATTTTTTACTCCACTACATTTATCTGAAATAAATATTTAAATAAATACTTGTTTATTCACTTATTTGATTTTTCTATTTTATCACATGATTAACTTTAAAAGTCTGTAAAATATTTAAAATATATAAAGTATTAAATGCTGTCTACATGGTAATACATCAGTAACAATAATCCAGTGGCAGATATGATTCATATAAAAGGGTAAAAGTTACAGATACTTTTACTTGTGAACATTTTGCTGCACAGCTACACACAGTCTGATAGTGACACCTGTAGGAAACAACAACAACCTGTCTCACCTTCACTCAGAATACACACAAATATATGTATTATATTCTATTTATGCATGTTCACTGTGAAAAGTACGTGTGATGTTTCTCACTTTGCAGTGTTGATGGACGGATGCATAAATTGTGACCTGGTTTTATCGTGTTTATGAGTCCGACTTCATCATTCAGTTTTAGAACTTTTTGATCACATTTAAAGTGCGAGTTGGCACGAGGTGTCGCCTGAATGCAGCACTGGAACAAAGACGTCGTCGCGGTCTCACCATGAGGGCGGCCTGGTCTCCGCTGAGGTCGGGGGCGGGGCAGTTCTCGGCCATGTAGGCCTGCTTCGCCGCCTCGATGTCCTTCTTCTCCTGCTCGATCCAGCCGGCGGCGATCTGCAGCATCAAACTCTGCAGGGAGATGAAAACGTTAATGTGTATAAAAAAAAAAAAAGATTTAATTTAACTCTTCACAATAACATTTCACATTTAAAGAGGACTCACCTTCAGATGATGCCTGCGGCTGGATGTCATTTTCTTTCTTTGAGACACAAAGAATAAAAGAATAAAGTCACACTCAGGACTGACGGAGACGTTTCATCGCACAATATCATATTATGTCTGTTGTTTTCTTAAAGGGAGAGTTTGACAGTCACTTACTGTATTAAAAACACTGATAGCACATATTTGTACATCAGATATAAGGCCAGAACCAGCAGCTTGTTAGCTTAGCTTAGCATAGAGACAGGAAACAGGGGGAAACAGTTAGCCTAGCTCTGTCTGGAGACATCGAGGTCTGAGGCCGTGTGCCGACTGATAAACGAGTGGACACAAAACAAATGATCATTTTTACACTTTGATTTTGTGCAGATTAAACAAACGAGATATTATGAGTTAATTAGTGAGTTTTAGAGGCGCTGGTTTTGTTGTCTTCAGACAGAGCCAGGAGAGCTGTTTCCCCCCTGTTTTCATTCTTTATGCTAAGCTAAGCTAACCGGCAGCTCGCTGTGGCCTCACACGACACCGTGGCGTCATGAAAGCAGCACTGACTTCTCATTTCACTTTACACCAGAAAGCCAATAAGGTATTTCCTTATGTTGAACTTTTGTTTTAAAACCAGCAACAGCATCTCACTGACGGATGGTTTTTTAGAGAGAGAAACTTTTTAAGAAAACCTTGTTAAAATAACACATCAACAATTAAAAGTGACTAATCTGTCACGATGTGAGGTGGGAAAACAAACTACAACCATTTGAAAAGTGGAGCCGGATTAATAAAATCGTATTTCATGTTACATGCGCCTGAGTTAACGTGTTTCTCCTCACACCTGCCAGCGACGCCTCCAGCTGCTGTCATCTGAGGCTAAAGGTCGACCTTTAAACTGACAGTCAGTCTCCGGGCCGCCGCGTTCGCATGTGTTCACATCAGTTTAGATTCAGACGCAGCATTTAGACCCAGAGCGAAACATCCCACCAACTACTGGACGTTTATTTTAGATTTATCCTGTGAAACAGAGCGAACTTCCATCAGACTCGGCTCCGCTTCAACGTGCTGAGTGTTTGTATTCAGCTGAAGGGATTTCTGAACTCTTTCACCTGGTCTGTTTCCTGGCAACAATATTGATGGTTTGTTCAGTTTTCAAGGTTTTTCTTAATGTCAGACACTGAATTATCTCCCTCCAGCTTAAGGAAAGCTGGTGAACAGTGGATTTTTTTTTAAATAATAATAATATAAATATACATGAGAATGTCGACAATTAACCGAAGTAAAACTGAAACTACAGCTTTAAACTGATTCAGTTTGTTCCTCTGGAAACCAACGACTGTATAAATGCAAACTAACTGAATCTGAATTAAAATCACAGTTTCAGAACTCATTATTTTAACCCTTTAATTTAACCAGATTAAATAATTAAAGCTCCTGGTTTATAATCGTCTAAAACAAACATTAGCTTCTGCAGTGGCTAAAGCTACAAAACGGTTGTTTCGTGATTGCACCAGAAAATGTCGTATTTACCTCTGTGTTATTTCTGATCAGTCATCACTAAGCCTGGAATTAGAGACACCAGACTGTGCCACTATCTGAGGATCTACTCTGGTGTTAAATAAACTGGAAATTATTAGGAGTTTATAGACGTGTGAAATAAAAGTCTGACACGTCTTTTCATTTTAAGAACTGTTACACCTATTTTACAACAACCAGATCCAACAGACAGTCAGAGCAAAGCTCTACAGTTTTGTCTCTCTGTTTCCAGCTCGGTGAAAAGAAGATGAGGATGAAGAAGACGATACTCACTCAGACATTTTGGCTGTTTGTGATCTTCACACCCTGTTCAGAGACAGAAAACACTCATCAGTCAAACCTGAGCAGACAGGTTACATAAAGCACACTGACCGTCCACAGCTCAAACCGCTCACGTCCTGTTGCCCCCGCCCCGACGTTATCAACCAGCGGCCCTTTGACCCGCAGCAGGAAACACGATGCTTTTTACTATCATGGAAAACCACACCAGCGATCACAAACCGGCTAATTTTGGACGGGCGGGGTCGGATGCTGGAGCTCAAACAGTTGCCTGAAGACATTGTGCCTGGAATTTAACGTCTTACAGCGAGCCAGAGATCTGAGCACGAACATGGCCTCCAGCAGAGCGACCAAATGTGGCACAAAGCACGCAGCGAGAGGCGTTAACAGCAAGCCTGACATCCCGCAGGCATGCAAACCCCCCGGCTGGCGTGTCCACAAGCTCCTCACGTCACAATATGAAGAATCACAAACTTTAAAACTTTCTGAAACTTTAATACGGAAGAAAATCCACATTTAAAAAGAACAAGTTTGTGGCAACATGAACCGTTAAAGATTCTGGGTTCAGACGGATTTAAATCATCAGTGGGAACATTAACATCACTGTGTAAACTTATACCAGAACTGCTCGTAAACACTTTGTGAAACTTTCTGAGTTTCAAACTGACAACTCCCGCCAAAAACTGAGTCACAACTAAATGTCCAACTGAAGCCGGAAAGACAAGAACAACAATATAATTACAGAAAATTAATAAGAGAATCACATTTTGTCATTTACAGCAAAGATCTGATGCAGTCGCTTTATTTTACGTGCAACTTATGAATAATTTTGAATAGGGATCGAAGGAAAGAACAATGTAATCTGGTGCTAATCAAAGGGAAAATAAAGTGTTAATTAATCCTGTCTCTTAGTCAGTGAACAGCAGATGAAACATGAAATTCACTCACAAACAATTCAACATGAATGAACAAACAAAAGTTTTCAATGACGAATATCTGAATGTTTTCTTTCACGGTAATTCCATTTTTGAAATAATTAGTTATGAAATTACAGGTTTGTCGTTTGATAATAATTTCTTAAATGTAAAATTACTCGTATATCCCATCTGGCAAAACTGACATGTATTTTTTATTATTTTAAAAATCAAACTTCAAAATCTCAACAACACCACGCGAGCGTATTGAAACATCCTAAAGGTCGTGGGTTCGTGATGAGTTGATTTTCATTAAAAGACGAGCCGGATCCCGTCAAAATAAAAGACCAAAACGACAAATTAGCCTCAATTTCACCTTAAAAGTCCAAACTTCAACCTGAACATCCAACAGTTGTTTCACAGCTCAGCGTCCCGACAGTGTCCTTCAATGACTCCAGTGAGTCTCGGCTGCTGCTTTAACTGCTCCCCTGTTTCTACTCTAGACCTCAGAGGTCAGAGGTCACACCTGCAGCACCACCATCACAACGCAGTTCAAAACCACCTCTGCAGAATAAATTCCCACCTGCTAACCAGACCTCAGCGTATTGTTTCCTACCGGAGTGAGAGAAGCCGAGCTGCAGGAGAGACTCGCACCTACTGAACCTGACGAAGACGAGCGAGGAGGGGGGGGGAGACACTGCCAAGTCCCAAACAGTAAAGATTAAACAGGGTATATAGAGTGTGAAGTGCTCGCTCAGCAGAAAAGTCAGCCCTCTTTATGGTAGCGGAGCCACTTCAGACCAATGGGCCGGCAGGCTCCAGAAATACCACCGCAACAACTCTCCGAGGAACATCGTAAATTTCTGCCGCAGGAAGTCACCTCCTTGGACGGGACGGCGGGTCGGACGTAATCAGGTTCCCGCCCTCAGACTTAAGTGAGGGGGGATGAAGCAATTGTGCCACAAGGAGTCAGCGACATGATTAATGCACACAGACTCAGTGTCCTTTATACGAGCAGCTTATCGGGCCAGCCGCCTGAACCGTGTGTGAGGCCGTTAGTCGCACACACAAGGTGTCATTCAAAATAAAATTCAGCTCAGGTTTCTGTAAGACGAGGCCTCGGCAGCCGGAGTCAAACAAATCAAACGGGAGATTAAAAGTTGCAGACGGAGGATTTATCGAAGCGAGGCGGCTGCAGCCTCGGATGAACCTTTCACACACAGTTCCTACGTGGAAGCATCACCTGCATCACTTCCTGTGGAAACATGTCGGGAGGTCACGGCTCCTGCCAGAGAGCGGAGGAAAGGTTAGAGCGAGCAGAGACTATTTCAGTGGAGCTACAGATCCTGGATCCCACGCACAATTAACATGTTCATCACAACAACTTATTTAAAGCTCCAGATTTTCTTCTTCTTCTCTCTTTATTTCAAGTGGTTTTTGTGTTTGTGGTTTTAAGAACCAAAAACCACCTGAGTGTTTCACATCTCCTCTCT